ATTTCCTATCCTCTCCACTTGGAGAGATCCAACTGAATGAGGATCCTCTTCTGGAGAGGTTGGATAGTTGAGTTATTAAAGCTTAATTTAAATGTTGAAATGACTGTGTTTTCCTCTCTCTCCCTTGTGCAGATCTGACAGCCCGCCTGTCCTGGGTAAAGTGGGATTAAGGAAAGGCCTTTAAAGGCAGCAAAACCTGAGGCCTGGAGTGCTGGGCATCAGCTGCTCGATTCCCAGCGCTGCAAGCGAGAACCCGGCGCCAACAACCTCACTCATTGTCCCAGAGCACTTTCCCACCAAATCTCCAGCACCCAGCCCCTTTCTCTGTTGATTCATTGCTCTTTAGGGCCTTCTACTTCTCTTTCTCACTGCTGATAGACCTGCACTTGCTTAAAAACAGCAAAACATCAAAAGCCAGTGCCAGCACAAACACAGACCCAACATTTTCTCTTCCACTGGATGAGGATTATGTCCAAATCCCATTTCCAGCACATGAGAAATAAGATCATAAGAAAGAATAAAACCTAAGCAACACCTGTGAAAATCTAGTGCTTGGCTTTAAGATATGCAGGGTGATGGTTGTGAAAGTCACCAGGGATTCAGAGACCATGAAAGTCCAGGAGGTGAGACATGGCTCTGTAGATATCCAAAATTTCTCATGTCTTCACAGAATCTCAGAAAGATTCATGTGGAAAGGACCTTAAAGCTCATCTCAGTCCCAACCCCTGCCATGGGCAGGGATACCTTCCACTGTCTCAGGCTGCTCCAAACCCCAATGTCCAGCCTGGCCTGGGACACTTCCAGGGATCTAGAGGCAGCCACAGCTGCTCTGGGCACCCTGTGCCAGGGCCTGCCCACCTTCAGTCTGAAACCATTCCACCTTAAGGTTCTTTATCGTGGCATTTTGTAGCAGGAAAGAAAATAAAATGCATTTATTGTTTATCATGTTCATTAGTTCATCTCACAGCTCCCATCTCTACGAAGCAAAAGCACATCAGGAACTGAGCTTTTGCTCTGGTTGATGGTTTTGGGGAAAGTGAAGAGGAGCCTTAGAGGAGGAAACTGTGAAGAACCCTTTTAGCTTTCCAATTTTTCTGTCAAAATGAAAAGGGCCATTTCATCTTGGGTGCAACAATGGATTTCAGTCAATTTAGAATAAAACCTTCATTCTCAAGTTTTGGCTCTTTGCTTTCTCACCCACTTAAGACAATTGAATGAATTTTTACAGGAAACGGCACCTGAAAAGGTGAAAATGTTAAAAAACCCAAACACACTTGACAATGCAGTTTTCTACTCTTACCTGCTTCTTTACTCTGGAAATGCTGGTCCTCCATGTCATCAAAGTGTCACAGCTCCCCTGGAACAGAAATTTTTGGTGCAAAATTTTCGGGTGATGTATTGCTCAATCATTTGGGTGCAACTGGCTGCTGAAATGGTGAACATGTCACAGAATCAGGTCAGTCTCTGATGGTCTCATTAACTTCATGCAAATCAAAGCAAATCAAGAGGGCATCAGCTCTCTCTGGCTGAGGGAAGCCAAGCTATGTCTCCCTTCCTGCTAAACTGAGCAAAAGGAAATTGGCCCTTCATGCATTTGTTCTTGAACAACCCTGCCCTTTTCTGATTGAACTTCAGCTCCTGGGTGTGGACTGCAAGGCAGAAAGGTGAGGGGGAAATTATTTCTGTGCAGAACATTTCCACTCCGTGCCAATCCAGGGGAACTGCTGAATGTGGATTTTGTGGATATGCTCCACGTCCTCCCATCCTCTCTCCTCCCAGTTCTGGCTCATTCCTTGGGTCACAGCTCTCCTGCCAACAGGCCTGACTGGCAGCACAGTGAGGTTCCCTGACAGGGAACTGATAGTTACCCTCATTTTTCTGTTCCTTCATCTCATGCCCTGAACCCCGAGATTTTATTCCAGGAATAAATTAAGCAAATCCTATGGTGTACACGCACAGCCTGATTGTACAGCAGCCCATACACCCTTGCACAGATGAAGACTCTAAGACGACTTTATGGAGACCTATCCAAGGCTCCTCAGTCCATCAGCACATTCCCAAACAGGGAATCTCAATGTCCAGCCTTGTTTGAGGGTCAGGTTCCACCTTCCTGGTCTCCCCCAGCCCTGCTGAGGCACACGTGCACATCACAGGTCAGTTCTGCTTTTCCTCGTCATCTCACAAAGCAGCAGGATCCTCTCAGCAGCAATCCCACAGCCAGACCTCCCATGGAAGGGTGCCAGGAGGTGCTGAGGAGTGGTACCCTCATCTTCCAGCCTCTGAGGAGCAGCTGAGGGGCCTGAGAGCAACAGGAGAATTGCTCATTCTGAACACAGCCCTGTTTCCAGCCTGCCGCTCTCCTTGCCAAGAAAAGTGAGAATTATTTGTTACACCTTCTTTCTTCCAAAAGTAAACTGCTGAGCCTTTCTGGAACTGGAATACCCTGTGGTTCTCCATCAGCCTGGAAACCCTGGAACAAAAGGAATCACATCCCCACTGTCAGCTGTTCTTTTGAGAAGGTGTTGGTAGTTTCAGGGACAATTTGGTTTTCTAATTTTTTGGGTTTTTTTTTGATACAGACCCACAACAGCAAGTTTTCATTTCTGAGACATCTGGGATAGTGGAAGGTGTCCCTGCCCATGGCAGAGGGTTCAAGCCCATCCCATTCCAGCCCCTGCTATGGGCAGAGACACCTTCCACTGTCCCAGGCTGCTCCAAGCCCCAGTGTCCAACCTGGCCTTGGGCACTTCCAGGGATCCAGGGGCAGCCCCAGCTGCTCTGGGCACCCTGTGCCAGGGCCTGCCCACCCTCCCAGGGAAGGGATGCAATGGGAATACTCGGGAAAACTGCAGTAACAAAGGTGCTCCCAAGTGCTTTCCTTCATTTCGTTCCTATTGCAGGGAAGAATGAAGTTTGTTTGTACCTCTCATGCCCAAAATCCCTCGCCTGAAGAGTGCTACCACCATGGTGTGCCCTCAGGTGGGATGGCAGGGACTTCATCACAACCTTCATTTACCTTCAAACCCAGTAATGGCCATTTGGGGCAGGATTTCCTGAGCTGTGGCCATGCTCTCCCTGGGCATGGGATATGACCCAGGAAGATTGCCCAGGGAATCAGCAGGAGGAGCTCACAGCTGAGGGTTGCTGTCCTGTGGCACCTCGGGATCTGTGGCAGAAGATGTTTGCTCCTGGGTCAGACACTGTGAGGAAGCAATGAACCTTGTTCCCTGAGCAGATCTGGCCATCCCTGAGGTAAAAAGCAGGACAGTCCCTTTGCACAGGTGGCAAAAGAGGCAAACAGGTTCTGGGGTGGCTTTCCCAAGCTGGTTCAGCATCCTAAATGTCTTGTAGGAGTCCCCTTACAACAACCCAGCTGTTCCCAACTGTACCCCCTCAATAAATCCATGTGGAGGCACCCAGGATGTTGCTGTGGGGATCACCAGCAAGCTCTGACCTTGGGAAGGGCTTCCAAGCCACATCAGCTCCTTTTGTGGGAACAAAGTGTAATTTCCACCACCATGGCTAATTTTAGATGACTCCCACCCAGTCTGTTTGCTGAAGCCCAAATGCATCTGAACAGGGAAACTCCAGCGCCAAAGCGATTCCAATCTCAGAAAGTATTCCTTGCCAGGAGAGGGGGAGAGGGGGACGGGAATAAAAGCAGATAATGTTTTGGATTCACTGTCCAAGCCGGTGTTTGAACTGAGGGGAATCCAGCTGCAGGCAGTGCCCTCTTGTGGTCCAGGATTAAAATCTCGCCTTTCCAAAAGCAGAGGATGACTCCAGCCAGCATCCCTGCTCCAGCTCAGCCCCGGGAAAGCAGATCATCACCTCGGGGAACGGAGTGAACGGAAACATCTGCTGCAAAAACTGCATATAGAGGCTATGCACAGCTATCTATCCCTGCACTCAGATCATGTTTTATGCCTCTTCAGCCGAAATCCTCCTTGTTTATCCTTCTGAAGCTGTTTTTATGCATCTTTCCATGTCCTGTTTTCACACCTTGCATAGAGAAAGAGCTTGAAATATAATTTACCCTTACAGCACCCTCCTCTGCAGCATCAGAATGCTCTGAAATTCCAGGGAAGTACTTCCCTGAGGGAGCCAAGATGCCATGGGGTGGCACAAAGAGCCTCCAGGCAGAGCATCCACTGATCCTGGACACCCTCAGGAGGCACAGCATTCCCTCTGCTCTCATCTTGGAAGTGCCGGAGCCATGGCCAGATGCCTCTTTCTCTGATCCCAGTCCCAGGGATGGCTAAGCCATCTCCTCCAAAAGCCCTTTCCAAAAATAATCAGGCTGAGGCAGACACCGAGCATGGAAAATTTTAACCCAGGCCATTCCTGCCAGACACTGCTGCACACAGGATGGAAAAGGAGAAATGGGAAGGGCGAGCCCAGGTTTTGGCTGTTTGGGGTGCGCTCACATCAGTGTCCCTGTCTCCTGGAAATGTGGCATAAGAAAAGAGGGAATAATAAAACCTCCCATACGGAGGTGAGGAATTGTTATCAGCCATGAGGTGACATCAGCCTGGTGGGCCTTTCCTTGCAGCCTCTCCAGTGCCCGGTGAGTTTCCCTCTGTCTGCCCTTCCAGAAACAAGTCCCGCTCACAGATGAGGCTTTTGAAAACCCTGTTCCCCAGCTGATGGATCCAGCTGGGAATCGCAGAGAGGACATTTTGCTAAGTGCCCACAGAGCTGCTCAGAAGGGAGCACGTTCCCGATCCCCCGCCGGAGTGTGCGGGAGAGGTTTCCGCAGCCCGCAGTGCCGCAGCTCTCTGGGGGACAATAAACTTATATGAACTGGAACTGCCATTACTGCAGGTTACAGCACTGGGCCCAGCCAGGGAGTTAATCCCAGACCTGCTTTTCAACAAGCATCCAACTCTCCTGTGGTTCAGGTACCTGGAATTCGGGCCTGCGGTTCCCAAGGTTTTTGGCTCACAGACCCTCTGCAGCAAGCGTCCCTCTCCTGGTGCTGTTTGAAACATCACAGACACTTCTGGTACTGCCTTTATTCCCCACCATTCCATAACTTCCCCCTCCTGACGAGGTGTGCACCAACCCACCCCGAGTCACCATCGTACTCAAGCATTTTGTGTGATGCAGCAAGACAAGGCAGCATTTCCCAGCCAGAAGAAGCCCGTGCACTGATTTTTGCACATCCAACAGGCAGACTTGCAGCACTTGATCCCGCTTTATCAGGCCAGGGAAGCTACAAAGCACATATTTAAATATAAGCCTGGTTTATACTTAGATTAGGCAGAGCTGACATAAGGGTGCAATTAGCACAGAGGATAAACTCCTGTGTTGGGATGGATCAACACCTTACAGGGAGCAGCTTATCAGTTTTCCTTTCTGCTGTTGGAATATGTGCTGCGCTCCCAAGTCCACCTTTTCCAGGAAAGTAATTCCATATTATCAGTATGTTTCTCACAGACACTATCCAACTCTCCTTCTGACACTCCGGGGTAGGATTTCTGCCGCATCGTGACAGGAATTTCAGGCTCAGAAACATTACACTGCCCCAGCAGAGTGATGGATCTGCTTCCAGGGGGTGAAAAATCCCCAAGCCAAACAAAAACCAGGGAAAAAAAAAAAAAAAGCTCTTTCAATAACTCGATTTTCCTTTTTTCACTTTATATTTTTCTCCCGGCTCTTACGTCTTTGTGAAGCATTCCCAGTGCTGCTCTTCCACAGCCAAACCCTTCTCCTTGGGGTAAAACATCGGGAAAATACACGGCTCCGAGCCAGGGCTGGAACTCGACCGCTCCTGCAAAATGAAAGTAATACATGGTTGGTAACTTCCCAGTGAATTCATAGTGTTAAAAATCAATAATAACTCTGCAATCCCATAAAACTGCAAAATTAATTCTGTGGAAGAAGCTGGAAAAGCCTTGGAAGTTTTGCTGATATATATTTTTAAAAATCTTAAAAATCAGAAATTATCGACTTTCAAGGTATCTTAAATAATGTGGAGGAGGAATTGTGCCCTACAAAAATAACGTGGAACAGTCAAGGGAAATTGGAAGAGATCTGATCTTATTCTAAGGTTGAAACGTGCTGCCCTTAACTTTTGAGAGATTGCATAAAATTAAACATGGAAGAGCCGAGCAGCTTCTCTTCTAAAGGTGTTTAGCACAAATAGTGAGATCAAATTCATGATAATATAAATACTGATCTTTTCCAAGCAGTAAAAAGCAGTTTAAAAAAACACATTAAAAAAAGCATTCAGGGAATTTGTTTTAATTCCTCACTACCATATGGATGCAAAATAAGTACTTTTTAAAATAGTCTCACTGCTTAAATAAATTTAAGCCCCTGAATAAATAGCAAGGGAAGTGGGGGTTTTTTTGCCTTACTTGAATTTTTTTTCCACTTCTTTTTCTTTGTGATATCTGTTACCTTGCTACTTATTCCTAGCTCAAGTTCACAGCTGCAGGGAGGGCTTTTTTTTTAATTCTTCCTTGCTTTGTGAGCAGATCAGCTCGAATCTGGAGGGGAATTTCATGGTTGTGGCTGTCTCCCAGCCTCCAGAGCTGAGGAAAAGCTGCCTAACCTCCCTTCAATAAAAAATGTGCTGGAGCATTTCGTTTTCAAACTAGAAAGTAAAACAAAAAAAATACCCCAAACCCCACATTTCATAAAATCAACCAGATGCCTTAGGAGGGCAAATATCTTATTCCTCTTTAATTAAAAGGTATAGCAAATAAAAATCTGGGTTTAATTAAACAGCAGGAATAGAAGATGTTATCTCCCCAAACCACTCTGCCGCGGTGAATTAACTTCTGAGAGTCTTATTTTTGTTTGAAACCCCCACATATCAACCAAAACCCAGCCCTCTAAAGGGGAAATTTACTTTTTATGAGAATATTTCTGTGTTCCACGATTGAGGCAGCCAGCTCCTGTACAAACCAGGAAGGGCAATGGTTTGTACTGGTTTAGGCTAAGACCAGAACGGGTCCTGCAGAGCCGCTTGATGTTGACCAACGCACCCATGAACGTTCACACAGGAGCCCATTTCACCTCTGCTTTATCTGCTGAAGGATACAGTGAATTTAATTAATGTTTAAGCCATTTTTATTTTCAGTCAAGACCTGCCCAGCTGCTTCTTCCAGTCCTTCCATGCCGCAGTTCCCAAATCCCTTGGCAAAAAAAAAAACCCCTGCTTCGTATGAAGGCACCCCAAAGCAGGGTTAAATCCTGGCCTTTCCTGGCACCCCAAGCCAGGGCCAAGCCTGCTTGTAAAATAGTGCAGGTGTGTTTATTGTAATCATCTCTGACTAAAAAGAAACAGGTTCAGGGCCTTTAAATATAATTAGCATGAGCTACACTCCTGCCTTTAATCACTACCTTGCTGGTTAATATAATCAAGAAGGTAAACAAACAAGGATAAACTCCATTAAATTAAAAAAATATATATTCTACTGGGAAGCTCACAGAGGAATTTTGTTTTGTTCTGCTGCTGCGGAGCATCATTTTACTTGTGCGTGGCGAATTATTTTTAACATAGAAATACTTGTCTTGGAGGAGACCTCTCCTTCCTCTGCTTCCCTAAAGACAGAGACAAAATAAAAAACCCTTTTATTCATATTTTATATCCGATGCAACCACTTTCCTCTTTCATGGCGTCTTTCCCTGCAAGACACCCGAGCACTTTGAAATGTTTAACTGCACATCAAATTAAAGATAGGCTTGGAGTAACACACCTGCTGCTCTGACAATTTATCCCAAATTAGATGTTAGGTATAAAACCAGGTTTCAGGCACAGGAATCGGTGCTCCCAAATGTTCAGCCCCTAGATTTTTGTGATGACCATGCCTGGACCCTCTTTGATCCCAGAAAACACCCATATCTGGATCTGACTTTTGCATGCTTGGACATGGGACAGGATATTCTGAAAATGAGCTTTATCATAACACACAGGGCTAAATAACCCTTTATTCCACCTGGAAAGCTCAGTTTTAAACCGTGCTCAGTTCTAAACCAAAATGCTCTTATCAGCAGAGATAGAGGCACGAAGCTTTAACCCATGGCTCTCTGCCATCCCCAAGTTTCCCATCCGCAGGAGAAAGCCTGGATAAACACAGGCACGTGGCTCCAAACCTGCTGGGATGTGAGCACGTAGTGCACATCCTTGCACAGACAGCAAACAGCCAAGGCTCCCTCCCTGCTCTCCTACCTCCAGCGCAAAGCAGCCCTCGGCATCTTCCGCAGAGCTCTAACACCAGACCCGGCTCGCAGCGATGCCGGGGAAGGGGAAGCCAGCCTTGCCAGCATCTTTATTGATCCAGGATGTGAGGTACCTGACCCAGCGGCCTTGCCTTGGAATAAAGACACTTTTTGTGCCAGTCTCCTGGAAGGTGGAGTGCCAGAGTCCGAAGGAAAATGGGAGAGCGTCGCGGAAACGGAGTGGAGCGGGGATGCAGCCGGGAGGGGGGTCCCTCTGACAGCCACACCGGCAGGGTTTCCAACGCTTGTGCCTATTTTTTCATTCATTCATTTATTTATTTATGCTAAATCGCATCATAGCTGTGCCAAAAAAACACCTGAGGGGAAAAAAGCAGAGAAAACACCACAGCCTTCTTCAGCCGTCTGCCAAAAAGCACTGTCATTTTCACTTAGGGAGGAGAAAAACGTCGGAAAGGGAATATTCCTCCCCAAATCCTGCATTTTCGAAGCAATGCAGGAGTCAAAGCAGGTTCAGAAGATGGCCTGTGGGTAGGGGGCAGCTGAGACACGAGCCTGGAAAGCGTTACTGCTGCAGCTAAGTCCAGTTCCCAGGAATTATTTGATAATGCACGGATTTATTCCCTCTGAGCAGCTCCCCGAGCTCAGGGAATTTCAGTGCAGAGAGAGGAAAACCTCAGCGAGGTCTCTGAACCAGAGCTCATGGGGTCTTTACACCCTCCACACTCTGAGAGGGATTAAGTGGGACCCTAAATAAAGCCAGACTCAAACACTTCCCTCCACTAGGTCAGAGATGAAGTTACAGCTTCAAAATTGCTTCAAAACTGCAGCTTGTGCAAGGGAGATGTCCATCAGCTCTCCTATTCTAGTGGCTGGTTAGAATGTTAATTCTAAGCCCAGGTCTAATTAGAATTGTAAGTCCAAGTCTAATCACAATTGTAAGTCCAATTATAATTATAATTCTACATCCACATCTAATCAGAATTCTAAATCTAATTACAATCCTAAATCCAAGTCTAATCATAATTCTATGCCCAAGTCTAATTACAATTCTATGTCCAAGTCTAATCAGAATTGCAATCCAAATATAAATATATGTCCAAGCCTAATCAGAATTTTAAGTCTAATTAGAATTCCAATTCTAGGGCCAAGTACAATTATAATTCTAAGTCCAAGTCTAATCAGAATTCTAAGTCTAATTATCATTCTAAGTCCAAGTATAATTATAACTCTATGCCCAAGTCTAATAATAATTCTAAGTCTAATTAGAATTCTAAGCCTAATTAGAATTCTACTTTAAAGTCTAATTCAATATATAATCCTGACTCTAAAAAATGAAATTAAATGTACCCATCCCAATATTAATGCAAAGTTTTCCTCCACAATATCAGGATTTTTAGAAGCCAAATGCTGATTTTATGGCACACTAAAAATTTTGCATTAAAACTGAGACAACTTTTGCTTAGGAGCAATGGTATTTTTCTGATTTTACAGTCCTAATTTTGGATTCCAAACACAGGGAAAAAACCTAAGCAAACACCCTTTTACACAGAAAGTTTAGTTTAGCTGGGAAAACCAGAAATCTTTAAAAATGGCCATTTCTAAGAACTGAGGAGGGTGAAAATCTGAATAACGCAGGTCCTGTTTCTGCCTCTCATCATTCCTTGCCTATACAAGTTGGAGACTGAAAGGTGACTCGAACCACATCTGGCCAGAGGCAAGTTCTCCCAGAGGGAATTCTGTTTAGCAGCCACACGTGCTGAATGTGTGGTTTTGGTTGTGAGCACACCGAGTCAGGGATGAGTTAAAGGGATGGCAAGAACGTAGCTCAGCTCTACTTTGAGGACAAGAAATATCTTTTTTTGTTTGTTTGGGGTTTTTTTAAAAGGAAAAGATATTCCAAAGTCAAAGAATATTCAAATCATAGGCTGAGCACTTGGAATAAATTACAGCTCTCACTGAGCAATAAATTTCTCTCTGTGCCCTTTGAAAAGGATTTCAGGTGTTTATGAGCTTCTTCTGCATTTCCCAGAGTTCTGCTCATTCCTGGGGTGCTTTGGAGCAGAGGAAAGGCCTGTGGGGCTGGGAAGGTCGGAGCCCCTTGGATCCTGACCATCCCCATCTCAGCACGGAGCCGGTGGCTCCATTTGGCTCCAGTGCCGAGCCAAATTCCCTGCCGCTGGAAATCAAGGTTGGAGATGAGCAATGTCCCGTCATCATCCCATCGGCCAGGGCTGCTCAATGGGGGCAAAATGAGCCCTTTCCGCTCATTTTTTAGGGCAACCAGTTGAAACAAAAGTGGGATATTTCCAAGGCAGAGATTTCAACGGGAGCAGAGACAGATTGCAAAACATTTTGAAACTCCTGCTGTCTCAACACCTGCCAAATCTCAGGGCTTGCCACAGAGTGGGACCAAGCCCAGCAGGGACTTCCAAACACCATTAAAATTGGGATGAAATTATCTGTAAGAATGAAACCAATTCCTTGCTGCCTTAGAGCCTTCTCTCAGTCCCTTCCCGCAGCTCCCTGGAACACCCCATCATGTTTTCCCAAAATCCGCTGATGCCCTGGAAGCCACAAGCCATCCATGGTGTGTCCTGGATGGTGATAAAGGCACAAAGGACAGCAGCAGAGCCAGAGATGGTTGGGATGTATTGGAGCAGGAGAAGGGTAGGATTGGTCTGGAAGTTTGGATCACCAGGCAGTTTTTGCCACTCAGTGATGGCGGGGACAAAAATGGAACACTGGGATCCCTCTCCAACTCCCGTTTAGGAAGAGGCCAGAATAAGGTGGAGGAAGATGGAAACTAACAATGACTCCTGGAGCTCTGGAAATTTATGGAACTGAGATAAATTAAGAGCCAGAGGAGATGTCACAGTCATGTTGTAGTCGTGTGCTTGTGGAGCATCGTTAGGAAGAACATCACCATAAAACTTCAACTCAAACTTCTCTGTTAAGAAAAAACATGGATCCACTCCTGTTGAAGTTGAAATAAACCATCAGGGTTTTTTCCTACTTATTTTCCTCCAAATTCCATAAAATGTTCATTTTCCCAAACATTTTCTCAAATTTTTGGAAGTATCCTCTTACTGTTGCTAATCTGACCAGTCATCTTCATGTGTTTCCCAATGCAGAAACCCCAAAAAAGTGAGTGAAAACAAACAAACAAGCAAACAAAATGCAGAAAAAGGAAATAATTGTATTAAAATTCTGATTTTTGAAGCAGTATTGTGAGAAAACAAAAAGTATTTTAATATGGCAGTGTAAAACAGGGAATCACCATGAACAAAAGCAAAACTCTTCCATTCTTTCCTAGGTGCTTCAGCACTAGCTTTGCAAAACACTTTTTTTGGGGCTGAGTGGTTGACCCCTCCTTTTTTTTCCTCCCCAAGAAAAATCCAAGAAGGCATCAATATTGTTTGAGTTAAACTTTTTTTCTTTCATCCCTTAGGCCAGCAAACAGTAGGGAAAGCAGTGTTCTGATCAAACACGACATTTCATTGTATCTGAGACAAAATGTTTCAGTTTTGGCTCGGGGTGAATTTTACACTATTTAAAAACACAACATTTAACCAAATTTAGCCTCATAATATCTTGTTGAAATCAAAATATTTCCCGTCTAAAGTTTCAGAAATAAACCAGTTTTAATTAGGGGAAACCCCACCCTTTTCATTTAGATGTAACTTATATTCAACACCCACTCACAAAGAGTTTTTGTCAAGCTGAAAAATGCACTATTTGGGCACATCAACTCAAAGTTTCCTGGGCTTTGATTGGAGGAGGAGCCACTCTGTGGTCCTGATGTGCATTTTGGATACTTGATTATTGCCAGGTAAAGATGTAGGTAAAAGAATAAAATCCAGGTCTGTCCTAGGCTGCTTTTGTGCCAGGTGCTGTAGATGACACCAAGAAAAATACTATTATTATTATTATTATTATTATTATTATTATTATTATTATTGTTTGAATATTTCACCAACAAAACAAATCAACAAAACTCATCTCCTTTTCCCTTTTATCTTTGGACTGAGCCATCTTTCCTTTGGCATCCCCATCCCCACAGTCCCAGCAGCTCCGGCTACATTTGAGGCCTGATTTGAGGGACAGGATCAATAGCAGAGAGCAGCAGAAAGAGATGATCACCCACACAAGACTATAATAACATCATAATATCTGCTCTGGCTCTTCGGTGGCTCTGCAAACGTGCAAGTATGGTTGGGGAGATGGAAAATAATATGAAACACTCACTAACAGCATGTAGCGTAGAAACTCCGAAAACCACCGCAGTCATTGACTCACAGATGGCCAAATGAACAACATGTTTCTATTCCTGCATTTAATTAAATCTTAATTATGCCACCAACAGGGTTCAAAACAGCGTTATGAAACAGCTCGCATGAATAGCAGGACACGATAGGCTGAGGGGGCTTTGAACTGGGTAATTATCTCCCCAAAAAAGCGCTCACGGTGGGGGAAGCCCCTCTGCCAGGCAGCCAGAGCACCAAGGCTGGAAGTAAATTCATGTAGAACAAACCCAACTCAAGGTATGGGGCTGACCAATGGAGAGGCAGATGCCAAATTACCAGTGGGACCAGATGGGTGGTACAGGGAGCCCAAGGGAGGCTCCCCACTCTGGTCAAGCCCCGCTCTGCCTCTCACCTTTGCTGGTCCGTAAGAAAATCGGCCAACTCTAATTTAATTCTTCCACCAGCCAGTCACGTGAGCTAATTAAAAGCAGCTGCCCGAAATATTCCTTTGATTTATCTTTTTTTGTTGTTGACAGGAGGCCCTTTATGAAAAAGAAATATTTTGGAGGATCTTTCTCTTTCATTTCTAATATGGAAGCTAAAAAACAAGCACTTGTACGAGGACTTTCCCAAGGAGTTCAGCTTTTTGCAGTGCTTCCCTGAGCAGGGGGCTGGGAAGGCCCATCCTAAATTCATCTCCCAGGGTTTTCTCACACCTTTTAATGCTATTTCAAGTTCCTTATCAACTTGATATTCAGAGTAGGGATCACCTGTCCCTTCCACATGTGAAAACATCACAGGGAAGAGCTGCTGCATATCTGAGGGCATCCAAGCTTCACCCATCCCACAAGCTGCAGGTTCCAGAAAAACAAAAGACATTAAAAAACAAACATTGCCAGATTCAATTTTTATCAAAGTTTCCTTATTTTGGCAATATTTTCTTTGTTGGATGCTCACAACACCTCCAACATTGGTCTGAAATGATATTTTCTGAGTGCAGATCAGCAAAGGGTGAAAAAAGGAAGATGA